TTTAAAACATCAGTAAGTTCTTTTGAATAGCGTCATTTTAAAAAATCAAGTTTCTGTAACAAATAAAGACTTTACAAAAGTACCTTCCAAATTTCTTTATGAGTTCTGCTACATGAAACTGTATTTAAACTAAGTAATAAGAAGTCTCTACTGACAACCATTTCAAAATCAGTAAGGCAGAAGAAGAAATTACTCAGTTATCTCCCTCCATAATGTACCAAACATTATTATTCTTCAGAAGCTCTTATCTTACTGGACAATCTCCACCCCTGGGAGGGAGGCATCTTTCCAAATTTACAGAGAAAGAACATGGCATTCAGCAGGTTAAACATACATGCAGCCCACAGTTCCTGGGCTAATGAGATAGTGGAACCAAGATAAGCCAGAGCTTTAAAACAAGAGCAAGTTTTAGAGTGTCCTGTAAATAAGGGTATAAATTCACAATATGTATAAATTTATAAATAAAATTAACACTCAGTGCAAAATACTGATTTGTCATCTCTAAAAATAGACACCTGTCAAGTATTTGCTATGTGATATAAAATTCTTCCACCAATAAGGAAGTCTGAGACGATGCTAACAAGCCAATTTTATGCACTGGATGTGACTAATAACCAAAAACAAAAAACAAACAAACAAAAAAAAAAACAAGCTCTCCAGTATTTCCTGTTACCAACTAAAAATAGCTAGCATGTTAAATCAAGAACATAACTTATTGGTGATGTCCACCATATAAGCAGTAACTCAAGGATAAACCATCATAAACCCACAGCTTTCTTTTTCTCTCCTCAACTCTAAACTCCTTAAGGAAGCCAAATTCTTACACCTGGAATTCCAGGTCTTCTACAATCTGATCTAAATTAATTTTTCAAACATTTCCCAACTATTTAGCTTCCTAACACTCCACTCTAGCCATGGCTGAGTTTTTCCTTTTCCCTAAGCTCAGCGTGTACCTCGTCATGTCTAAGCTTTTGCTCTATACCCTCTTCACTTCACTTAAGGAAATGCAACGCACCCTACAAGACCAGCTCAATTCTCTCCACCTCCAGTAATCCTTCCCAAACTACCAGTTCAAACATTTTCTCCTTTCCTCAGAACCCCCATAAGGCTTTTTCATCCATTCATGATGTACACAGTGTTATTGTACTGAACTGATATTTATTTCATTTTTTCATGTGTGTGATTTCTACAGGACAGAGATCTGTGACATCTATTCTTGTATTATCCACAGCATATCACACACCTATGCAGCAGCCAGAAGATTAATTTTTTCTTAATTTTAGGTTACAAACTAATTTAGGGTGATACTTAAGTATATTTATATTATATATGTGATATAAATACCTAATATATGCTCAACCTAGACACAGCATTTAGTTTTCCCTTCAAAATGAAAACTTTTAGAACACGTGTTATCTTTCCTGCAGCTACTGCCTAAATGACAGCTTCTCGGCAAAACAAAACAAAACAAAAATTCCAATGGCAAATTCTATATTTCCTTTTGATACCACTCATTTAAATTATGAAAAGTTTATTGGTTATCATTTGGCTATATATATATATACCTACCTCTTCTTTCTCTCATTTAGGAGTCTCAATGACAATACTTGCCCAATAAAAGTATAATGTAAGCCACACATGTGATTTGAAGTCTTCTGGTCAGCCACATTTTAAAAAGTAACGAAAAACAGATAAAATTAATTTTAATAGATTTAGCCCAATATATCTAAAATAGCATCATTTCAATGTAATCAATCTAAAGTAAATTACTGATAAGCTACTTTACATTCATTTTTTTCATACTACATTTATGAAATCTGCTGTGTACTTTAAACTTACGCTGCATTCTCTGTTCGCACTAGCCACACTGCAAGTGCTCAATGCCATATGCGTTTGGTGGATACCACCTTGACAGTAAAGATTAATACACTTCTGCACACAGGGGTGTACAGTGCATACTGGTGACTACGAGGTAAGATTAAATCTACTCTAAAAATTTTCATGCTGTATTACAATAAGTTTGTTGAAAAGAAATAACAAGGATAATTTAGGCTTTAAAATTTGTGAATTTAAAATCTTAGACTCGTCCAACAGGAAGCAGCATCACTTCAAAGACCTAGTTTCTTGAAACTCTTATTTTACAGATGAAGAACCCTAGAAAAGTAATGTAACTGGGTGTATCAGTAGGCACTCCCAGGAAAATCTTTTTGAATTCTAGGCCTCCTACAATGAAACTTACCCTCTTCAACATCAGGCTTGCCTCTAAATTCGCCAAAGCATGCAGCCAGGTTATTTGGGTTTGAATCCCAGCTCTGCCACTTACTCGTAGTAACTGTGAAGCTTCCAGCCTGTTACCGCCTCAATTGTAAAAACGGGTAACAGCGGTCTGGGTCAAAAGGTCGTGAGAATCAGGTGAGTTAATACATGTAAAGTGCTTGGAGCAGCAATTGGTGCATAATACATACTTAGTAAATATTGGTTGTTATTATTACTATTAAAAGCCAACTGATGTAGCTAGATTAATAAGCATCTGTATGAAGTTAAATGCAAATGCCTCATCTGAAAGGTAAGAGTGTGACCAGCTTTTTGCAATGTTTTAAGAGTAATGGCGGGTTTCTTGTACAGAAGCAGCTGGAGCCCTGGGTGGCTCTCTTCAGGCCAGGCTGAGGCCACAGGGCACTCCTCAAGCCCTGAAAAGGCCTGTGGGCAACACTACCCTTTCTTGACTAGACTAGATGACACAGGACCGGTTCCTTCCCCCACTGCATCTCTGCTTCTTGATGGAGTGGAAATCCCTCCCCTTCCCTCACCCCCGGGTCTTAAGGAGGTAAAGAAAAAACATTACATTTGCTTTTATTTTACTCACACCTCATGAGTTATAATCTCTGCATAAAATCCATTTCACTTGAAGGGGAAAAAAATCCAGCTTATCAAATCTACCTCTGAAACACAAAATTTGTCTTTAATCAGACTAAGATACTTGCCAAGGTCATAGAGTGAGTTCCTTACAGAGCTAGGCCTAGAACTACCATCAAAGTCAAGTGTTCTTAACTCCAAACTATAATGAGGTCATTCGATAACTTATCAATGCAAGGGAAACTGGTCCTGTGGCAAAGAGTATTACAGATTGAGACAAAATGATTTGATGGTTTAATTAATAAAACATAAATTTAGAGTCAATTATTTTAACACTGTAATAGAGTCTAAAGAATCTCCTTAGGGTCAATGGGAAGCTGCTTTTAATGAGCATTTATTTAATTCCTTACGGAAATACAGTAACGGCATTGGAAAAAAAGACTTCGAGGACAGAATTCAGGATGTTGAGAATCTAATAACACAAGCTTCGCACCGACTGGTTATGTAACTGTTGAGAACCTAATACAACTTCACAGTGACTATATGTAACTCTGAACTCTGAGACCTTTTCTGGCTCTAAACTTCTAAGCATCCAGGAAGAATATCTAAGTCCACGCCGCTTAGGTGGGTGGGATCTAGGTGGGCTTGTGGTATGAAAGAAACACTTATTGAGAGCTAAAGATTATTTCCAGAGGGAAAAAAATGAAAGATAATATCTAAGAGCCAGAACCTGAAAAAGCAGGAGCCAGGGAGACAGCCTAAGACATAAGACAACCAAGCTGTTTTGAATATAAACCATTAAAAGGGAACAGAAAGCAAGTGTGATTCTAAGAGCAATGCTCCCAGGAAACTGCCACATTGGTGAGCGAGATGGCTGCACAGTCAGCACAGCCTCAGTCCCAAATCAGTCATTACTGAGCATGAAGCCATTACTTTTCCCCAAGTTATAAATGGATCATACTGTTACTTTAGCAGTAAGCTATGAAGACTGCATATACATGACCAGATTTTAGTGTTGGAATTTTTTAAAACTCACAGCCAAAGTACTCTGATACAAATTTACTAAGATTCATACTGATTATTGTGCTTCACAGGGCCTAGGTCTAACTGGAACATAATTCACGTGATTTGCGGTAATAACTACTAACACACAACCACACATCTCTAAGGTGTGAGCAATAGGAAGGAAGGGTCTCCCTAGTTTGATGCTGAGGACTTTTAAAGTTTTGATGGTTTTCTTCATAATGGCATTACTGAGATATAATTCACATACCATAAGCTTTACACATTTAAAGTGTACATTTCAGTGGTTTTTAGTATATTCACAGAGTAGTACAACAACCACAATCAATTTTAGAACATTTTCATCACGCTCACCTCTGCTAGAAGGGCACTTGTGGTCTACTATGTTTAATAGCTCTTTTTCCAGTTACCCACATAGTTTCTAGTCACCTGGTTCAGGTCTTAGCCCAAAGGTCACTTTCTCAAGAGGCCTTCCAGACCACCCAATTTAAAACTGTAACACTAACTTCAAGCATCATTCCATCACCTGCCACCTCAGCCCCCACTTTATTTTTTCCAGATACTGATCACACTTAGCATTCCAAATGTTTTACTTGTTTATTGTCTGTAAATTCCAGAGGGTAACAATTTTTGTTTTATTTACTGTTGTACCCCCAGGACCTAGAATATAACACCTTGTAAAAGTTTAATGTTTATAGAAGGGGGGAAGGGAGGGAGAGGTGAGAAAAGGAAGTGGCTTCACTACTACAAATTTCATTAAGATCTCCATTCTAATTTATTAAATTATGGGTTTTCTATAACATGTTTCTCCTCTAGAATGAAAGTCTAACCAGAGAAAACAAAAATAAATGAAGTTAGCCAAATCTGGCACCATTGCATACACCAATATCTATGCCTTATTTTAAACATTTGTTCCCAATGCTTCATTCCTTCTAGTAAAGGCTGAGTGCGTAAACTGTGTACCGCAGAGAACAAAAAAGTATCAAACAAAGTCACTTTCTTCCAAAAGCCTATACAGTCTTTATGAACAAGACATGCACAAATTAAATGCATGCTGCCTTTTTTTCCTGCTTTTGTTTTTAACTTTTAAAAAATGTGAATAGCAAATGCCTAATAAGTACCATAGAATTTTCGGAGAAATAAATGATAATCCAAGTGAACTGGAACAGTCAGAAACTGCCTCCTGGAGTAAATAGTGTTGTTATAGTCGGTGAAACGAAGGTAACAAGTAGAATCAAACTTAACACAACAGTTTATTTCTTGCGTACGTAAGAGTATCAAGGTAAGGAGGAAGGTTCAGGTTGGTGGACAACTCTCTTCCACACAGTTATTCAGGGATCCAGGTTCCTTCCACTACGGTTCTGCTTTCCCCAGCTTCCACCTCAGGGTGCCCAGCCAGCCAGCGGAAGAGGCAACAACACAGAGAACCACGACCTGCTCACGTTCCACAGGCTGGAGCGCGGTCCCATGGGAAATGAGAGCCGCCTCCAGGTGCAGGAGGAGAACGAATTGTGTTCTTCTCAGAGCTAGCAGTCTCTGCCACAAAGAGGATCTGAAACGAACCATGAAAGATGGGTGGGATGTATCCAGGAACAAGGAAACAATGATATGAATGAAAACAAGCACGTCAAAACTAAGCACTAGTATGTCTGGCTATATTCTGAAGAGTAGTGAGACAAGATGAGGCTGGTTTGGTCAATGGTTCCCCCAATGCAAACTAAAGACCAATCCCAATATGTTAAAGTTGCTACCAGTCTACAATGAAGTAAGAAAAGTAAGTACACGTTGATAACCTGTTAAGAATGCAAAATTAATTTTACTATTATATACATACAATTCAATTTTATATGACTTACATACAATGTGATATTATAAAGTTAAAATTTCAGGCTTTAATTTTTACATTAAAGTAAGTTATTCAACATGGCATATCAACGGTTCTAAGATAAAGCCCTTTCCTGACTATAACAAATTCAGTCTTTGTCCTGTATGTAAGCAATGCTGATTTACTTTCACTTTCCAGTTTGTTGTATATTTTTTAATACTTTAACATTTTCTAACAAGTCTGTTTTGTTTTAGAAACAAAACAGACTTTGGAAATTAGAACAGACTGGTTAGTCCTAAATAGTCATAAGGGTTTAAAAGTAAAAACAGGAGTTACCTGAGAGTGGGCAGAAAGTCTTACAAATAAATATAAACTATGCTCAGAATACATGCCCCAAAGATTGAAAAAAGTTGATTCTTCTGTACCCAGCTTGAAACTCTGTATAAACATATACCATGTATGACAAGTATTAAACTCAAAAGGGGAGTTTAAGAACAGTGAATTAGCAAATTAAAAAACAATCTGCTATTGCATTAACCCCAAATTTCCTTTTCTGAATAACTACTTTTAATCTAAAATTGGTACATTATTCTTAATATTTACCAAAATGTTAGTTACCATTTTAGCAATAAAGAAAGCAAAATGCTCTTTTTACTAGAGAAATTCAAATGTCATCGTTCAACTATGAAATAAGAATTTTATTTATAATAAAAGAATGTTAACTTTAAACACTAAATAAGTAAACAGTTAAGAATTACTGTGACCAATGGAAATATGTGCTTATTAAAGACAGAAAGCTAATTCCTAGCCTCTAGCAAAACCAAAGCTTTATAAAAATCACTTTTTCTACCTTCTCCCCTATATAACCCTAAAGGCAAGGGTTGAAAAAGATGACATGGCACAGCACGCCTCCTTAAAAATGGGAAGGAAAAAAAAACAACAAAGCTGCCAGAGAAATCAAAATGGTGCAAATGCCATTTATTGGCAACCTGGTGGATGCTTCAGGAAGTTCCAAACACGCCCGTAAATGTTAGTCGTGCATCTTTACAGTCAGCTTAGAATTATTCAACTAAGGGGTAACCAAATCAGATGAAAGCAACCATACAATGAAAACTTATCTGCTGGTAATTTCTAAAGTAAATAGTTTCCAATAGTAGCAAATATCTCTTATAATGCTTTTCATGGAAAATATTCAAGTATTCCTCGGTGAAAGATCAGACTACTTATTATTATTGTTCTTATTATTATGAAATTATTATTGTATAGTTATAAAAAACTATGTGTACCATATAGCAGTCTGTTAATGACTTACACATATTAAGAAATTATTATGAAAAACTACTTCGACCATATTAACAATCTGTTAAGGTTTGGATAATTCAATTAGTTTCTAAAGAACTTTCTGTTTATCTGAGAGCTACTGCTTTTTAAAAATTTAATGCATAACATGCTATTACTATGGTAAAATATGTGAAAAGTTACTTCTACAAACAGAATTTCTGTTTGCTGAAATTCAGTTTACCACACATTTGAAAAATGAAACAGTATTTGATGAATAATCCAACTTAATTATTTAAAAATAAATCACATTTTTAAAAAATTTCTTGCAAACATGTTACTAAATTTACCAACTTAGGCAAACATGTACATACTTATACACTTTGATCATACCAGTTTTAGTCATACTAAAAGTTGATGGCTAAGATTTATTAAATGTATGGACAAGCTTTAATTTTCCTCTGAACTCTGGACAAAGAAACAGAAACTAGATCTGCATTAGGGATTTTGTTCTGCACAACACAGCTCTTGCTCATAACACTCTTGTAGAGCTATTATCTTAAAATTACAATAAAATAATATTGGTTAATGACAAAGCTATGAGTGATATGACACTGAGAAAACACTAAAAATGTAAAATTAGAGTTTCAAATTTAGGGTGACGGAGTTCAATGGTAAGTCTCATAAAGTAAATAAACTTAAAAAAAAATACCAGAAGTCATTATTTCCAAATGAGACCTGTAGTCTTCAAAAAGACTGACTTGGGGGGCTACAATATTTACTCCAAAAATGCTGTCGGTGTTTATAATATTTGTAAAATTCCTTTTTGGAAAATCCCTACAAAACCTTTATTAGCACATTCTATTAATTATCCTCAAGGAATGGTAACAAATCTTCAAACTTGGAAAGTGGGTTTGAATTTTTGAAGCAACTGAGGAGTCACACAGGCACTGCTATAGAGAATATGATGAATCATCAAAAATAATAATATAACTTGGTCAAAAATGAGATTAAACATAAGGCAATGACAATTTTCTTGTGAGGCACCCCTGGAAAGATAAAGCCTCCCAAAGCGTATTTCTCAGTTGGAAGTCAATGTAAATCAACTTTATAACTAAATATCATTCAGTCCAACTCTCTCATTTTACCAATGAGAAAACTAAATTTCTAGGAGGTGAAAGAAACTGTCCCAAATCACCTATTTAGAGCCAAACTAAGGACTAAAAGCCAGGTCTCCTAATTCCTAGTTCAATATTCTTTCCCCAAAACTACACTGCCGGTGCTTCATGGTTTGAGAAGAGAAAAGTAGAATTGCCTTTCAAATCCATTATGGGTTTTAGTTTTCAATTCAAATTTAGGCAATTGGGAATCTCAAAAATTCTGCAAGACTATGCAATTAGATTCTAAAACACACTCATTTAGTAATGTCAATTCCAACTGCTATACAGAAGAGGCGGAGACAAGCTGCAGAAAAATCAACTGAGGATGGATAATACTCAGGTTCAAAGTAGTCAGGCCCTTAACTAGATCTAGCTTGGCAAAGCCAAACTTCTTACAACTCAATCAAAATGCATGAATGTGCTTTCATTCTTACGCAGACATTTACAAAATTGTAAATGATTGCCATCATTCCTGTTTCACATAATTGATTGAGCATTTACAATGCCGGGCAGTATGCTAGGGCACTTACACGACCTCATTTCATCCTCACGAAGACCCTATGAGGTGGGCACTGTTACATCCCCATGTTCAAGGGAAGGACACTGAGATCCACAAAGGTTAAAAAAACTTAACCAGAGGTACAGTGTGACAGACTGTATTTACCAATTTTGGCGGTGAAAATATCTCATAATCCACATGTTCTTTTTCTGATTAAAATAAGCTTTTTGTTTTAGAACAGTTTTAAATGTACAGACACATTGTGCTGGCCGTACAAACTTCCCACATACCCTGTTCCCAGCTTCCTGTTTCTAACGTCTTACATTAGTGTGGCACATCTGTCCCAATTCATGAATCAATATTAATACCTTTTGATTAACTAAAGTCTATGCTTTATTTAAATGTCCTTAGTGTTTCTGTAATGTCCTTCTTCTATTCCAGGACACCACATTACCTTTAGTCATCAGTCTCCCTAGGCTCCTCTTGGCTCTAACAGGTTTTCAGACTTTCCTTGTTTTTGACAACCTAGGAAATTAAAAAACTGACACCCCAGAAGTTTCTTTCTCCAGAGAAGGTGCTTCTCAACAACTCTCCTAAACAATTTCCAGAATCCAAACTGCTCGTCCTTAGAGTATTTAAAAGGTCTATGTTGGTCAGTGCAGTGGGCCTGAGCTGGCAGACCAATCACATTTGGAAACTAGATCCCACACTAATCTAATACTGTTTCCCAGTAACTGCACTAATACACCGTAGTATACTCAAAAAACTATAAATGAGCTGTCATGGTATATAAGACCATATGACTCCAAAATATAAGTCACATCATTCCCAGTGACAGGGCCAAGCAGGCAATGTATGAACTTCTCCTGAAGTAGCCGTACTCACTTTCCACACTGCTACGGAAAAACTAAGCTACAGAATTTTTTTAAATATTCAGATACTTCCTATTTGCTCATTTCATGGCAGGAGTGTTTATAAAATATTATTAAGTTTATTATACACATTTTAGGATTAAGTTGTGGCCAGGGCTAATTATAACATGCCTGGGGAAAAATTTAACCTACACTGATTAAAATTCTATTTATAAAGGAAAAATCTAAACCACAAAACAATGCTTAGTTTAGAATAAGAGCATGTACATAACTGCCAAACATAATCAATCCCTGTTTAGATGTCTCTCTTTCTGAAACACTGTAATTACAAAAAACCAAAATGAATTTTTAAGTGTTTCAAAATGAAATAGTCCTTCCATGATTTTCAAGGCTTATAATTACTTTCCTGAAAAGGTAAATACTCCAAGTTTCAATTTAACATAATACTAGCTCTAGAAGTTAACAGACTGAACATTTGATTTCTCTCTAAAATAAGCCAATGCTAACTTTCCTACAGCCACTTTTGGCCAATGCAAACCCCCAAGCTAACTGAATGGGTTTTTAAGACTCCTCACATGTGTGAAGTTACATTTCTATCCAACAGAGAAATGCATAAGGACACACAGTCTCTCATTTCCCATTCCCTCTTCAATCAACTACAGTCTGGCTCATTTTACTCCACCTGTTGACAGCATCCCATATGAGTGGCCACGTCCTCCTTGAAATGCTAGCCTCTCTTGGCTTTGGTGACACCAGTCTCTAGATTTTCTTCTAACCTCTCTGATCCCTCCTGCATGGTCTCTGGTTGTTGGCTCCTCCTCCTCTACTCAGCCTCTAACTACTGGGGCTTCCTATCACTCAGCCATTGGTTGTCTTCTTTCAATCCCTTCCCTCCTCCCTTCTTCCTCTGTGTTACCC